TAATGGCAAATCCTCATACCGTTAAACTCAGACAAGAAAAATTACTACAAAATTTCTTCATCAAATGTGGACTTCCAAGATTTCTCAGAGGGCTGGCTTACTTCTGCAAAGACTCGATAAAGAAATGCCGCTCATGAAGGAAATTTCATACAATGTTAGATGGAGTTCGAAACATACGAGGAATCTGATACCGATTCACATCGCTGCCCTGACTTACTAGAACACATCGACCTCAATTATCGTCGCCAAACGCTTACTTCCCCACTGCTTCACGTTACAACGACTCATCACCACTCCTATTTACGTCACTAAGTGTTGCAACTACCCTCAATACCAACTCCACCCTTCGTTGATGCTTCCACTTTGAGCAAACTCGACCTTCCACTGTTCAATGGCAGCCTGCTCGAATTTCGAGAATACTGGATCAGATTCTCTATACTCGTCGGCGATAAACCGCAAAGTGACGGAGCTACGAAAACTGTTCTTTCTCAATCAACAATACGAGACGAGCACTGCAGACAATCAGAGGTCTAGCCATAACCGCAACAAATTACCCAGTTGCAGCAGAAATAAAAAAACTCTTGGACTCCCACGTCATGGTACATCCTCTACACGATACTTCCCCATGTAACGAAAAAGGTCGAAACCTTTATCCACTCCACTCACAATTGTTCGCGCTTGTACCTCAATTCACTTCATAGGGAGAACATTCAGAAGAGTGCACCCTTGGAGCGATTCTACTCAACAAAGTACTTTACTACATCAGAAGTCGAATCTACGACCAGGGAACCAAAAAACCTTGTCACGATGGGACTTCTACAAATCCTTACGAGGTCGCACGATAAGAGACGACAAAACATGTACAAGAAATGGAAGTGTGCAACAACTCGCCTACAGAGACCTACGCCAATGCTATTTGTCAACGTCATATAATGCCAAAGTATTCACCGAAAAAGGGTCAAGCGCAATCTTAATCACGATTTCCCGAAAAACCCTGGGAGCATTGCGAGTGTTTTTTTTGGGAATTCTACATTTTATCAGATTGTCCATACAGAAGTCATCAAATGATCATTAGAAACCATCAATTAGAGCGTCAATTAGAGCGATCCAACCAATTGTTGACCGTTGGTCGTTGAGCAGCGCTGGCAGTCCAATAGGCTGCTGATAATTTAAGCCGCTACATCCGCGTTTTTCCCCTGGCGTGTTTAGTGGAAGGTGATGGTATGAATCGGGAGTTGTCCATTCATTGACCGTAATGGTGGGAAAGCTCACACGCTATGTATGCAGCAAATTGTATTTTTTGACAACATTTGCTGGCTGGAGAGTCGTTGCACAGGTCCCTATGGCTGCATTCCGAGGAGGAATGCTGTTTCTGGCAGTGAAGAAAAAAGCTAATTGTAAGAAAATCATCTACATAGGATGGGCAGAGCCCACTCCCTAGCTGGACTAATGCCTTGTCGTGACAGGCTCCTGAGAGCTCCTAGTTTGGAGATTGACTAGCTCCATGAATGTGGCGGTGTTCACAGAATCGAATCAGAATAGATGAGCACCATCTTTAGCTCAAATCAGAAGGAAGGAGCTTTTGCTCGCCCCAACTTTTACTGTGTTGAGCATGTATACTGAATCGTTCGGTATTCTTCTTACACAATAAGCTATTTTACAGCACTATGAACACTACAGATGTTTGTGGCACGTTTTTATTCGCGGCACCCACTATAATATTTTCATCGAGCACTCGGGCTCAAACCCACAGGTAACTTAGCTTCCTTTACACATTTGATGTCTTTATGGCTTTGACGTTATTCGTCTTTTGAGTATTATTAGTTATGTCCTACGCTGTCCTACGATGATCTATAAGCTGCTGGCTGGTATCAGGTCCAAGTTGATGGTGGCAAGTAACAAGGAACAATTCGCTTGAATGCTTTGTAGCTCCACTATAAATGTTGTTTCGAGAAGTCTCCTTAAGAAAAATTTTGAGAAGCCTTCAAGACTGTACCAAGCGAAACCAACGGAGACTAAATGGAGCTTAGAAGAAGGAAAGAAATGAATAGCAGAAAGTTAAGCTCAAGTGGCTTCAGGCTTTGAAACATTACTTAATAAGTACGATCCTAAAATTCTACATCTATTCAAGGCCAAGAGAAGTGGTCGAAGAACGTTGATAAAGATTAACTTCTTATTAAAACATGCCCAATACAGGTGGAAAATTCATGAGCTCATGTAGGGCAAGTCTTGGGACTGCTAACAAGAGTCGTAAAGCAAAAAAGTGATCAGTTCAATGAAAAAACGGTCCGACGTCCAAATAGAGATACTTTATAATGGAAAAATTTGTTTCTTCAATCAACAAGAAACTCTTGGCATCAAAGCAAATCATTGGGAATAAACTTTTTCCTGAGAGTGAGCTGAAATCCTAGAGCAGCGTCCACAGCAATGTAACGGTTGTATAATTCATCCCTATTGTCCAGCCACGAATTCTTCTCCTTGGCTGAGCAGAACAGCATCTGAATGGAGTCAATTCTGATGTGTTTGCAAAGGGAATTCGTGCTTCAAACCACTTGCCCTATCTATACGGCCGTCTGCCATCAGGTAACATGACGGGAAATGGCGAGAGAATAGGAAGTGTACCTAAAACATTGGCAAACACTGAAGCTTTGCGTTTTCGGGTCTGATAATAATAAAAGGTTCATGAGAATTCAGTTTTCATCACACATCAGATGGTGAGGTGCGAAGTCCTCCTAGCCAAATGTCCTTCAGAAAGCGGCTTTGCACGATTTACTAATTTTTTTTTCAGAACAGACCACTTTTCGTACGTGGTCGACTGATTAGTCTCAAAAAATCTTTTTTTTTTTGACCGATTGTCGCTTACAGCTACAGTTCAGATAATATAAATGATTGAACTGGAGTGCTCCATCTGATGAACTTCAGATCCGATCAAGAGCAGGCCTATAAGCTGAACTGCAGAAGCTTAATGCACTACTCAATGGAAACTCACTCTCCCTAAGGAGAGGTTATCAGGAGACCTTCTCAAAGTAGCCGTGTCAAATTAAGCAATCGCGCATGGCGACCTCGAAAGGGTCTTCTGGCCATTCGCCCCCACCGACGAATCGTCGTGCGCTGTGACCTAAACTCAGCGCGCTATCTTCTATGAGGCTCCTAACGACACATTTTTCACTCCCACTTGTCCTTCATATTTTCGCAATTTTTACTTCCAACAAATTCTCAATTTCTTTTCCTAGAAATTCCTTTACAATAACTTTAGCAATGTAATAATGCAGGTAACCAGGTAAATAATCTCATGACTAATCAATATATCGAGCTCTAAGGCAGTGATTGTGGAGGAGGAGAGGGGAATGGGGTGTAAGGGTATGCTGTCTCCTCAACCCTTGTGCCATATATAAATACGAGGCCTTTCACGTTAAAAGTGCAGTTCACGATTGAAACTGTATTCCTCGCTAGGATGAACCCGTGACCTTCAAACATAGCCTAAGGGACGCTGTCGGGTCGAAAAATGACCAAGATAGGGCGTAGTAAGGGCACCAGGATAGGCTTAGCAGGCGTGCACTTTCAAGATGGACGAGTTCTTGCGCGTTCAAAAGCTGTAGAGGTAGCGACGTTGTTGTACTCACACTTTGCTTACTGTAGCGAGCTGTATGCGATGGCGCGCACATTTGAACAGCTCGTCTGAATACCCTTTCTATGCAACCACTATTGTCGCATTCTCGTCCAATCGCTACTTTTGCACTACTTTAGACTATCACTTCCAGTAGTCGTTTGACAACAGATTCCCCAAAATTATCGTAAACTGTGTCATTAATCAATCCCGTAGTTAGGATGCACATCCACATTGAACTTCTATTGAAATCGTAGTGGTGGTTTGAACGGGTGTGGCTATACAGATTTGCGGTGGCCACCCGATGTACAAAACAGCGCTTTTATAATCCCGACGAGTCCGGTACCAATAAACCGACGTCGAAGGGAAGGATTGGCTCAAATTAATATTGATCCGGGATCCGCTCCTGACCACATAAATGTGTGATAGTGCGCCACGTGCCACTACACCACCTCCGCCCAGTACCAATATATAGGCGTAAAAGTTAGCTCTAGGTGTAGCTCCAACGTTTCAACGAAAAGAAATGCACTCATTAAGCAGAATCAACTGACCGGCTTCCCCTGACTATGGCCAGAAAGGGCTAGGTGGGGGTATAGCGCTCGAATACAACGTCCACCACATCTACTTGTCAGAGATGCACATCTCTGATCACGTAACTAAGATATCCTTAGTCCGCCGCATCCAAGCAAGTGAAATTCGGTCATTTGCTCAATTATTACTATCGAACTGTGCAAGATGCGGTCACTATGGTGTAAAGGATCTTGATCCTTCCTCCGAAAAGCACAAACACCGGCTCGATTATCTGCCGAGGCTAAAGTTCTGTCTACAATTCTCCAACACTGAAAATGAAAAATCCCTACCCGGTCGGCCTCGTCAGTTCTATCCGTCGTGGTTATGATATTCACGATAACTGCACCTGAATTGTAAAAATGGTCAGTTACGCGTTTAATATCCAATCCACTCTTATTGGAAAACTCAGAAATGAACCATTTTCAGACGTGACTGCTTTCATTGCTTCAATCACATCGTCACTTAGAAATTCGTCGATTGGACACATCATGGAACGGGGTACATTGTAGCAAACATCGAGTAGTATTGCATCGTACTTGACTCCTAAAAATCTTTGAATATATGAAAGAGGCTTTATCATTGTGGTTATGGAAGCAAAGGGTGGATACACTGTCTCCCTTTCTAAAGAACACTTGTTCGAATTCCGTTTAGTCTGAGAATCTGGCTGCTGGATGACGACTGGTAATAAGACATTACGAAAACTAAAATTGGAATCGATGTTACTCCAAACACGCTCCTTTCTAGCTTCGGCATCAAACCAGTTCGGTCAACGTTAAAGAGCACTTCCGACGACGTACAACCCAGCAAGTTCGTAATGTACCGGCGCTCGTTCTGTAGTTATTCCTAGTTAACTTCGCGAAGAATAACCCACACCTTACTGAACTGGTAAGCCATGACCTTCCCAGTTTAGTTCTCCCTAGGCTTGTCAAACCAGGTAAATGAGGCAAATGATCCACATAAACCCTTTGCGCCACTAGGGCTGAACGTGATTTAAAGCTCGCAAGGGGATAAAGGATAGTCTTTGGGCGTTAGCCAATTCCGTCTGAGGGATGCACCGACCATCTCACTTTAATTTAGAGTCATAGTGGCGTAATCCTCCCGGGCGAGTTTTCTACCAATCAGCCGATCACTGTTGGATGAAAGGCTTGGTTGGTATGGGCAGATATCAATTCGGATTCGAACCCGTGACCATGCGCGAGTTTGATAATGCGGCACTTGCAAATACATCACCTCCGCCCATTATCCTTTCATCAACAGTACATACATTACAACCACCGCTAACTCGCGACTGCAAAACAATCAAGTTATGGAAATGACAAACCCTTTTTAGCAGCATCACGTACAAATCTCACGCCGTCTTCTATCACTATTTGGTGATTTGCTGATTCATGAAAGTCGTACCACTTTTCTGCGATTCGCTTCATCACTGGATCGATATCGACAACTGTGACTGCTATCTAAATTTCAGGTTTTCCACTTCTATAGATCCTTCACTCCCTAATGAGTTTTGGTTCACCAGAATTTGCTATGTAAATTCAAAAATCATCAAACTTTATAAAGAAATCACAAACTCAATCAGTCAAAGAACCTGAGGATAGGCAGTGTGCTCCGAAGGTACAATTCTCAGTAATTCTGAGATAACTAGCTTGAGCGAAATAATAATGGCGAAGAAAGCGCGAAAACAGGTGGATTTTAAGAAATATCAGGCTTCAAAAAAGCAGAAAGAGAGGGGGTCGTTTGAGGTTGTGTCTTTAACCGTCTAGGTGTCTCTCACAGTAGCGTACTATTCGTGAGCGTCCTGAAGTTCATTGTGGAGGGTGCAGTCTTAACAAGGCTGTCATGATACGGCCACTTTTGGGCGTGTACGTCGGCCAAGCCGGTTTTGGAGCCTTTCAGACCCTGTAGAGGTCGTTTTTTAACCCAACGAATTCCATGTGCTAATCCTGAGGGCATCCCGGAGTGAATTTGTCGGAAATAGTTCAATCGTGAACTGTGTCTATTAATAAATCATCCACGGCATGTTGTCTTGTCACTGATCCTCAGCAACGGCAGGTACGGGACGGGATGCGCCAACGAAGCTTCTATATGGAAAGGGATTTTTGTTCATGCCGCAACCTAGCATCGACGAAATTTTCTTTTCGCAGGCTTCAGGGAAGGAACCCTATCCCGACTGGCTGGAAAAGCCCCATGAGCATGAGAAGCCGCACCTGAATATGCTACAACATGAACACACTGTTTTGGAACAAGAGTCATTGCTGCTCTCTGGTGCTCTTCCAACCTTTTATATGAACATTATTATTCTCAGCATCTCAGGCTAACAGCACTTAATTTGGATTTGAATTCATCCTCGCTTTCCTTTGAATCCAGGTGTTTCACCAACATCCAATCCTCAAAGATTGTTTGTGTCAATTTTTTGCAAGATTATAATATAGATTGTTTTGTTTTTAACGGTCACCGGTTTGTTTGTAACTGATTTGGACGTCTAAATGTTACCTATTCAAGGCCAAATTACATGGTGATGAGTAGTATTCATTCAAATCAACTAACCGTGTGATTTGGCAATGTCGTGAAGTAGTTGTTTATGATCCCACCGCCCAGTCCGATTAAAAGAATATCTTGCTTCCTTGTTGTGTTGAACTCCAATGCACCACTAAAGAAAGCTCCAACCACCATCAGACGCGCGTACTCTAAGCGTACTGTACGTTTATCAATCTTCCAAGTCTTTGTGTTGAAGTTTTCCCATGTCAACGCTGAAATCTATGCTCTCAGTTAGTGGGTAGTACACTCTTATTGTATAAACAATCCAACGCTTACGTGAAGGAGGCAGAATTCTGGCATCCGAAAGCGTGAGAACTCCTTGTGGCCCTTTGCGTCGCAGTGATCGAAATGCCATTAATCTAAAATAGCCATCTGTTTGAAAAATACAGTGTTAGCCCGGAAAAACAATGAAGTAATGGTTATGTTGCCCTTGCTGGCGTGAGAAGCAAGATTGACTTGTAACCGAATACAGCTTTAAAAGTTTCGCCAAAACATATGCGCACATTCTCACCATTTTGCAGAGTTCAAGCTACGAGCACTAGTAAGTATAAGTGGTACCTAAGGTACTTCTCGATCTGTCGGGTGGGGAGAGGGGGGAATGGCACATAACGATGTTAGTATAACTATACCAGTGACCAAGGAGGTAGGAGCATCGGGGTAGGTTAGATGAGAACTCGTCCAGCCCGGTGCTGCTTCCCTCTTGAGTTTAGTTCAAAAATTTCAAATTGCATGTTCCTGGTGTAACACGAAGTAAGAAGTAACGCCGTGTCGCCTGATAAATCCTTGATATGTTAACACTGTTACGTGTCCCCCCCCCCCCCTCCTCCCTCTCCCAACTACGTTTTTTAAGTAACCTTTATAGGCGCAACACGTGTAAGTGAACGTGTGTAAGAATATACACATATGCTATGTACAATGAAATAGAAATGGAAAGAATCTCACTTGCCGTTGTACTCTTCAACCTTATCAGCGATTATGAAACACGTTTGATCCAACTCGCTACAAAGCTCATCAAGCTGAAATAATGAGAGGAAAGCACCTAAAATACTTCATTGTATTGAGTGAGGCAGTCTCGTACAGCTACATCTATTTATGGCGTCTTATCATCGAGATTCAGCGACCAACGACTAACAATAACTCTTTTTGGAGAATAGCTGTATCCAAAGCTTATAAGGGTTAGTGACATGTTCATGTGGAGAACTCGCAGTTCTGGCAAAAAAGGGAGCACGTGGTTAAAGGTAGCAGGATCCAGGTCACTCATACTTGCGATTGAGCTTGATAAACGATAGTTTTCGTACCTTATGATAAGGATTGCTGAGCAGCCGTTTTCTGATTGCCATTTCTTTCTTCTGAATGTTCGTCATGGAACCTGACTCAGTATTGTTCTTGCGATCAGCCACAACATTATTTGTAAGGATCGTCTCATTCCAGAGACGCTAAACAAACACAATAAAGCAGTGGTAAAAATGTTTTTGCTTTGATCAATCACCTTGTGATTTGTGCCCATACATACAACTTTCATATGCAATCGTAAAGACGTTTGAATGCATTTTTGTCCTACACGTTGGCCTACGGAAGTCAACCAGTTTTCAAATTAATGCTTTGATCCTTTCGAGCGAAACTGAGGCAACGAGTTACTCCTGAGAGAATTGAATGCAAACTTAGGTGGGTACTGAGCCGAGATTCCACATCCAGACCGAATTTGTGATAGTGGCACTTGGCAGTGCCCAATCAAGCCCCAGACGCGACACACAAAAAACCAATCTTTCTAGGTACTTACAGCTATCAAAAAGGAAGTTAGAAGGACAGTAGTGGAGCATGCTAGTGGTATAATATGTGACATGGAGGGACTGCATGACTGTGCTCTCCATCGGCCGCAATCACCCCAACATCTGTACAAATACGGTTTTACGCTTTCCTATCAAGCAGATGTGCCAACCTACTGGATTGATACATCAGTGCAGACTTAGCTCATCTCAAAATTGATGGAATAGAACTTGTCTAGCTACGGAAAGCATTAGCATCGGTACTCGCAGCTCTAGCCTCTATTCGTTACATTATACTTCCATCCTACTTACTATAAAGTCGTCTTCGGTCTGTATGTCTGTCACGAAATTCCATAGCTCCTTTAGATCTGCTTGGAGAGACCGGGCAAACCTGGGTTGGGTGGGCCATGTCCCGTGAAGTATAAAGCACACATCAGCTTGGCGTAGTCCCGCCCACAGTGGGCATGGCGTGCATCGAAATGAGGTGTACTGAGGACCATGATTTCAAATTCAGTCACGAGACGGCTTCAAAACTAATTTTTAAAGGTGGCTAGAGGTGTGTATTGGTGAGTTAGATCCAACTGGGGAGACCTACCCCCGATGGGCGGGGCGTTCTCCAAAAATGCAATGCTCTACGAAAACACTTTGAAAAATCATAACTCCTTGTCCCCGTGGACCTAGGAAGTTCAGATTTTGTAGAAGCACAGGTGACAGGAAAGGAACAGTAATGGTGGGTGGCAGGACCAGACTCCGCTCACAGGGAGCGGGATTCGAGCGGAAACTCATAAATCCGATGAAGGTCTATAATGAGGATATGTCGTGAAGAAAGTTTTTGCGTTTTTTGGCGCCCAATATTCAAATGCTCGCCGCGGTGTTATTTGTTATTAGGTTTTTTGCAAGTTTCACACCACTCTGAAGCGCATTTCTTGCTCTATCCAAATATATAATCGGTTTTGTCCTGGAGTTACTCCTGGGGTTTTTTAGAAGTTCGAAATCAGCATGGACAAACGACAGATTCACACGATTTTTCTTTTAGAATTCAAATTGGGCAGGAGTGCGATGGAAACGGCCCGGGATATCGACGATGCCTTTGGTCCAGGTACGACGAAACAACATACAGCAAAGTGGTGGTTTGAAAAATTTCGTACCGGCGATGAGAGTAAAAGTGATATTGATATAAGTGCTTGTCTGTCGCTACTTGCCACGCGGGAATACTGAGCGGTAGACTATGCAGAAACACCGATTGCACGAAGCGTTTACCTTCTGGTAAAAGATACAATTACAAGATCAAAGTATGACAAGGTATAAGATCAAAAAGTATTTGCACAAAGCCAGATTGTAGCGCCGAAGATTGCAGAAGCACGGTAGGAAGAACCCTCTCCCAGACGGTCCATGCGATATTTATATGTCTGCGCGATGACGAATCCTTCGCAACTTGACCATGTTTTCTTTCTGAAGCAAAAGCCTTATAACAACATGAGACACTACATTGGGCTAAATGTTGTGAGAAACCGTACGACGTTGCAGATGTTGATGATTTGACTCACCATGGCGCAGCGTTATTTCCCAGTCCCTGAACAGAATGTTTATTAAGCACTATCCATAATTACGTGAACAAATTCAAAAAAGGATCGCAGTAGCGATAGAGAGCCTGGAAGATGAGCTTAGTGGACGGCCATCGGCCGTTGACAACGAAGAATTGAGAAAATTAGTGGAAGAGAATCCGCGTATAACGCTGAAGAATATTGGCTTCAGATTGAATGTTCTCAGAAGGACGGTTGGCATCCACATGCAGGAGATCGGGAAGTCGAGGAAGCTTGATAAGTGGGTGCCGCATGAGTTGACTCACAATCAGCACCAGAAAGACCGCCGCTTCGAGCTCGCCTCCGCCTTGCTTCTGCGCAACAGGCACGATCCATTTCTAGACCCTATTGTGACGTGCGATGAGAAATGGATTCTGCACGACCACCGGCGACGACCAGGCCAGTGGCTGGATAAGAATCAAGTCCCATGACATTTTCTGAAGTCGAAGCAGCATGGAAAGAAGGTCATGGTGCTCGTTTGGTGGTCTGCAGCCGGGCTGATCCACCACAGCCTCATGGATCCGAGTGAAACCGTAACAGCCGAGAAGTACTGTCAAGAGATTGAAGAAATGCATGGAAAACTTCAGCTCATGAGCCCGGCACTGGTGAATAGAAAGAGGCCAATTCTACTTCACGACAACGCTCGGCCCCACGTCGCACAACTTACCCTGAGAAAATTGATGGAGCTAGGCTATGAAACTTCCCGCATCCACCATATTCCCTAGACCTTGCCCCCACAGACTACCATTTCTTTAAACATTTCGACGGCTTCCTCAAGGAGAAATGCTTCATAACCCAAAATGATGCTGCCGCGGCATTCGACCATTTCATGATCTCTAGATCTCCGGACTTCTACACGAATGGGATAAGCAAACTTGTTTCTCGCTGGCAAGTTTTTCGATAGTAATGGTTGTTGCTTAGTGAAGTTTTGTTCAAGCCGAGATAAGTGCATTTGAAGTTTGAGGCGCAAAAACGCAAGAACTTTCTTCACGACCTAATATGTGGAGGAATTGTGGGCATGGAGTGATTCAGTTAACATGTGAAAAAAGCAGTAGGTTTGGGGAAAGACGATACTTTTTTAAATGAAAGAAAGGCACGGACTGAAGTAGTTTCGTCGCTCAACAATCCTCGCAAACAGAAGAGGTTCGGAGCGGCGCTTTTTCCCAACCTTGAGCGTTAGTCGCAAATAAGGGACGGTAGCCGACATCGCGAATTGGTGCTCAGGAACGCTTTATGGACACGAAGATATATTTTTTCCAAAAATAAGCCTCCCAGGATGGGTGAGTCAACTGAGCGTCCGATTCCTACTCCACTCCAGATTTTTCTTCCGAGGTGATCATCTTACCCGCCCAGATGCTGCTCCCTTTCTGAGTCGTCGGTAGAATTGGAGGGTGGTCTTTCTCGCTTCCCTCATTGATAGCTTTCTTTCGTTCTCTCGACAGTAGTCTTAAAAATGTTCACCAGTAAGCTGAGACAACTACTATGATAGTCCTCTGTGCCGAAATGCTCGGAGAGATCTGTGTCTCCCAATCTTCCAGTCCTAGTGATGCAGACAGGCTGTTCTAGTGATGGTCAACTATTCATTCAATGAGAGCACCACGTCACATCGTCACATGAGAGCAACAGCTGTGCCAACATTTGAATGGAGCATTGAACAATGAAGTTAGTGGTAGCCAGAATCAAGGACCACCTCGTTGCATCCAGAGCCGAAAACCTGACTAGACCTAACGTATATTAATGCATGCAGTATATATATGTATATATATATGTACATATATATATATATAAAACATGAGAACCCTCATATGAGCACTGTAAAAGAAAAGTAACCTAGTGTTCGTTTAACGCATGTAAAATGATGGTCGGGTACCATCAACTTACGACTGAAGTGACTAGATGAGAAGAGAGGTCAGAATCAAAGCAGAACATAGAAAAAGAAGTCACTACGGACCCACGTCGTTATCGAGACATTCCTCAAACCTGAAAAGCTACTCTCATTACTCAGCGCTATGTAACTGTCGTAAACTCAATTTGTGATAAAAAGGGCTTTACAGTAAAGTCTGGACTTACGGAGAAGTAATTTGGAGTCGTGGATACTTAGATGAAGACAAGAGTGCCTATTGAGAACTTCGTAGAAAATTAGCACGTCAAGCTTCCGCCGTCACCATGCTCGAGAAGTTGGGCCAAGGTTGGGTTAAGAGAAGGGGCCATAGAAATGCTATCGTAGACTCCAGCAACTTCAATAAACATTTCCTAGTAAAGCTGTTCTGAGCCTTTCCATTTCCGCTAGCGGTTCGTGCATGTGCATCTTAGACTAATAGTTGACTTCGTTTTATTAGGAACATAACAGTCATAGCGAGTGGACTCCATAAGACACAGATACGAGCGGCAACGAATAAATATTAACTTCGCATAACAACCAGAATGCGAATAAAAAGACAATATAACATGATGGGAGTTAACATATACTAAGACACATAACGAGTACAACAGGGTGGTAAACAGGTCTTCGTTTCTGGGACGTCTCCCCAAGATGTGAGATGACTATGCAAAGGCGGCCGTCTTGTGCCGACTCATCGAAAGCTTCCAACTTACTCGCTCCGCTTGAACTAGTCAGATGGTTCATGAATGTCGTCTAACTACCGCCACGCTTTCACAGCATCACTTACACCTCCCCTCTTCATCCGTCCGACATGGACTTCAAATGCACTTGCATGCGGCGGTGAAGGATAGAAATGGCTCTCCGGATGAATGCTCACGGACCCAAGTATCGGTGTACTTGCAATTGGGTGACAACGGCGCGGAGCGAGTAAGCCCACTGCAGCAGAGTGTTCCATGTTGGCAATGCGCGGAGCGATTTCGCATGCCCTAAAACGAACTGCCATGCCGGCAGCGGGTTGTAGCCACATTTAGGCATCGGTAATCGTTGATGAAGACGTCCGAATCTTGATTGAAATTAGTTTTTGTAGTAAGTAAAAAACAACCTCTTTTTCTCGGCCCTGGTGCGGAGCTCACGGTGGTGAGCTCAACGTTGTACTCCTCGGCGTACGGCTTCATCTGACGATACTGCTTTCTGTAAAAAGTAATCACGCAGATGTCTTGCGGGGCGATACCCAAACCCTGGAGCTTGCGCAAAATGCCTGCACATGCTGAGATGTCATTTTCATTGAAATGCGACTTACTATGGCCCTCGCTGATTTGTCCGATACATCTGAAAAGATAAACGGGACGTCAAGAGCCGTGAAGAAATTTCTCGACACAAGTAGACTTCAAGCCTCCGCGGGGGTCCCGCTGACCAGCTGTCCGTATGCGATGCGGTTGGGTAGAGCAAGCAATGCCGAGTGAGCGCGGGAGGTGGTAATGAGCGGCGCTACGGGTACCGCTGGGGTATGAAGGATCAGATCCATGACACTGCGTGCTCCGTGAAAGGCCGGATTGGACGTCGGTGGGCACTTAACATGCGGAGCGAGGAAGTGCACATCTCCTATGTAGACTTCGCGGGAGTGCGGGAGACGGCTAACGATCGTGAGGAGAGCCGGCTCCGAGATTTGCAATGCTTCGTCCCTGTTAACTATCTTAAAGTCGCGTATGTAGGACTTGAGAATCCTCTTGCGACCGGTGTAGTTCAAAAGGGACGATGTTGTTATTCAAATGACCGAAGGACGCAGTACCGCGAACATGGTTTCTACCATGCGCTCGAGCGTACTGCTCTGCTGTCCCATACTCGTCCTGGTCATCCGTCATATTGGGTATCGCTGCCGGATGCTCAATATAATTTCAGTAATATCGCGAAACTCGTTGAACAGCTGAGCTGGCACGTCTCGAGATGTTTCGCCGATAATTGATCTATAAAGTCGTTACCAAGCGACTTCAGTACCTCACTAAGGTCAACTTTGGTCGGATTCAAATTATCGTCT